TTCTCTTTAGTTTAGAATCTTATGATTTGAGTCCACGCCAGCTTTTGACCACTCGCTAATTGAATTTTATCCCTCGAGTTTCCACAGTGTGGCGGGTAGTTTGCGACGACGGTAGGAGCTGGTCAATAAACCATCGGGTGGTGTTTCTCAGTAATGGATAAAGTGGCCCTGTAATCTATTCAAGGCTTATAACCTTGACTCTTCCCTGAGGCGAATGGGTAATAACTGACCGGATGGTGTGAGCTATTAGATGTCCACGCCACAGAGTCCGCAATTAGTATTTTACCTCCCTGCAGAGGTCGCGTCGAGTGGTTTCGGTGGTCTTGGTATTATGTCACGGCGTAGAATGAGCACAAGTGTAAGTACAGCTTGTATAACTATGTAATTAGTCTATTAACCAAATACTAAGAGAAAGTAGAGAAACCTAAAATTCAATTACAATAGAATTTTCGGTCTTGTGTGCATCCTCTCGCTTCCCAGAATCGCGTGACATTATCTCCTCCTGCATCTCGAATCCTTACATTGCATACCTTCCTGGTCACCTGACTTTTTAATGACATCAGAATGCTGTGTCGTTACAGGAGGTAGTTTTGGCTTTAAGAGAAGTGAAGTTCGTGAGTTATACTCTTAGGACTTTGTCAATGGACGAACTAGAGGATATTTTTATAAATGTAAGGTTAAGGGAGGTGGAATAGTTACCAGGAAATGAACGCACGTTCACTAAGAGTCGTAGATACAGATAGGTTGTAATAAAGGTGTAGACTTACTTGCTTCTATTAATATTTAGAAAATCACTACTTTTATATACATATACTACAGTCTACGGCTTTCCATATCCACAGTCGCTCAGTTCCATTCAACTCTGAGTCATCCCATTTTATTCCATCCTGCTCTAATCTATCTGACTCTAGTGTATTCTGTTTTAACCATCTGATTCTGCGCCTTTGTGACCCACACTAACCAGATGCAGAGGTAGCTATGTCATCAATCGCAGCAGATATTACCGAGTATTCTCAAGTGTGTAAATAATATGGAGATGGTTTTAATATTCTATTGTATTTATTGCTTATATAATCCACGAGGTAGGATCTTCCTCTTTTTTTTTAAAAGCAATAAATGTGTATTCAGCTATTTGGCTATGACGCATAACACATGACCGGTGCTATGTATCCATATTGGATGACTCTTTTGATGTTGAAGACACTCATACTCTGGATTTGATTCGCAAATACCACTATGAGGTATGCTTGCTTACACAAACAGTCGACCCTCCTCCGTGAGTATCCGCCAAAGGGAATTTCAGAACCTTTGGTTATCCAATCATAGCTTCATCATCCATGTATACAAGCACCGCGAGATACGTATTTAGTTTTGCCGGATTCGAACCAACGATTTACTGTCTTCAGTGGGATATGTGTCAAAGCTATCCAGACCTTACTTGGGAGAGCCTCCCAGATGATATACCACTGCACCATCCAGCCATAGAAGTGATTATAGTGTCGCCTGCACTCTTGCAACCGAAGTCTTGGCACGCGCAAAGGTCAATTCGTAAAACTCCTTGACAAATTTCGTAATTTCACGCCCTTCGAGGTGATATCCATTCTCTGCATCTTTTTGTGGACTTGTCTTGAATTCTCTCACGTCCATCTCAAAGAACTGTCTCCCAGATTTTTTCGCCACGCTTTGTTTCCTCCGTCGGGTGTAAATATCGGTGTGGCCATGTATTTGGTGATTAACTGAGGCCAGAGAAAGTCGAAGAGAGGTGTGGTCATTGAAATTAGGATGTATTAGCTCGTACTTGTAAACTTGATGAGACTTGAGTCGGTGTCAATCTCGTTGGGAGTGATAATTTGACGTGGCGGAGTAGTTTGAATCATTGCTTCGTGGGTCAACTTCTTTGTTATTGCGAAATTTGACTGAACTTGGCACTGGGAGAATATTTCACTCCCAGATTCGAAGGGGACACCGCGTGCAAGTGTTCAGTATTGCCCTCCAATCAGAAATATTGTGTGTAAGAAATTGAGCGAGTAGAAGTAGATATGCCATCACTACTTCCACAATGCCAATCTGCCATAAGTTTCCCAATAAAAATCCATATCTGTATAATACTTCCCGAGCCACTTAACAATAAACAGAATGAGATGGATGAAAGACAGAAAGGAGATCGAGCAGGCCACGAAGAGCGGCCATTCAGGGGGCTCGATTATACTGGGCCTCCCCACAAAGAGCTTACAAGAACAGGTGGTTCGACACGGCATTGTCCTCAATGCTGTGCTCTACTCGGCACAGGTATGATCCCCCAAGACCCAGCCAAAGCAGTGTTACGTCTGCGGCTAATGGAGACACATGCAGGCGTCTTGCGGTAAGGCCGCCCGATATAGCAACTGCTTTGGTGTTCACTAGACTCGGGGCTGCCCATGGAAAATATTTTTTTCCGTGATTTGTAGCAGGGAGCTTCATTTATAGCAGATAGCAGTGTGTCAAAGTTTTCGGGTCTATAAAAGAGGTGTTAAATGGGCCCGTTTGGAGCTCTCGGAATGAACTGTAGAGATCTGACGGGAGGGTACACCGACAACTGCGTCGCAAGATGTTAGCAAATGATTATCAGGGGTTCCCTCTAATCACCAGCAGAAAAGGTAAACCGAAAAAGAGGGGACCTGGGCGACCATTTGAGGTCATTGTTAACTCAACGGTCGTACTAAATACGTTAATATCTCTGGCTCCAGCATCTCCAGCCATCCGAACGAGGACGACAGAAAAGGATGGTGATAAGATTCTCCCATACTTCACCTGAGAATTATCTATATCTTTAGGGGAAATATATTTGCGGTGATAATGAAATTAATGGAACAAAAGTATATCTTCGGCATAAAGTGGGATGTGCAAACTTGGCAGAACTATGGGTTTTGTGACCTGAAAGCTTTTTCCCTAATTGATGTCATCAATCATCTTTATGGTTCCTTAAATTGGATACTAAATAGGACGTTAGATAGGTATAAAACAAGTAAGACGAATATCACAATTTTTTCAAGTATTAAAATTTGAGAAGCAGTAGAATTAGTTTGCGGTAGCTCCGATTCCCTAAAGTATAACCTAACAATTTAAATCAACTTAACCCAGGCTGTAAGAAGATCTTTTAACAGCTTCAACTATAACCGTGATAAGATCCAGTCATGCTGGCGCAATATCTGAAATATGAATCTACTTCTACATATTTGACTTGCCTCTATAAAGTCTCCCTAGGGCGAAAGGTCCTAGAGTCAAGTGTATTCTGTTTCCAAACATGAATAGGAAAATTGAGATCGAATCTGATTCAGAATATCTCGTAAAATATTGAGGAGATAATGACCCCTCAGTCATTGAGGTTGTAGAGCGCATTGATTCACGTGACTAACGAAGTGAAACTGAATACATATTTTTTAGTCACGTGTACCAACAACGTGGCCTGCTTGATAGCCCCAATTATTCTAAATTCTAACGTGATAACATATTACCTGTCGCATAGTAAAATTCTATGTAAAAGCATTCTAACGTACTCTAAGGAAAATTAATGTTTTCCGACAAACCATGATCTTATTAATAGATATTCAATTCCTGCGGTACCCTAGCGCCGTAAAATATAACGCATATGGTTGAATTGTAACAAAACTTCGGTTTTTTGAATTTGACCTAACTTTGCAATCAGTATCTACTGAGAGTCTTATTCTTGGTAGAACAATATATAGACAAACTCTATGAATTAAAATTTTGGTGACTTTGATCCCTTGGGAGGTTGAAGTCAATACTTTCAGGTTTTATAGAATGTTAGCCTACCTTACTTAGTGGTATTAATCAAGTAGTTAGTCGATATTGTTTGGAAATGAATAAACGAGGGCAATTTGTTCAAAATCTGCAGACTAAACTCCGTTCCAATTATTATAAAATACCCATAGGAGATTATGCTGATGAACTTTCAGGGAAGTAAATGTTATGAGCGGCATCTAAGCATTAATCGGCTCTGAACTTATTACTTTGAGACCTTAAGTAGCTAAAGATATTGAAGGGTATGTCAATTGGTAGAGAAACCAAGGGTCTGTAGAGATTTCAAATGATGATTGGAGACTCCAGAGCCATTTTTTAAACATGAAAATTATACCAATATATAGGACATCATGCTAAGCAAATTTTCTTCAATTTTGTTGATAATGTCCTCATGGAGGGGGCAGTGTTTCGGGGTAGAGCTACAATATATCCTAAAAAGACGATCAGTTGGACCTTACAAGGAGAAACAAGCTTCGTTTTTCCCTTCGCTGATTCTTATAATTTAGGATGCCCTTGTTATTTAACCTGATACTAGTGATTACAATAGTAAAGCTTTTTATACTTAAGATAAATCTTCCAGTAACTTAACTGAAGTGGCCATTTGTAGGTTTAATCTCCATTTATATACTTCCGAAAGAAAATTTACTAGAATACATTCACAGGTGTTTAGTTTAGAAAAAAAATAGGTTCAGACTTCCCTCTAAGCTTATAAGAACCTAGGGATTTGTGATGTTTTAGTTCCGTAAATTGAATAGATAAAACAAGGGAGGACGCTGCAATGGAAAAAGTGCTCTTGCTTAAAAAGCACAAACAAAAACTCAAAATCAAGTGTATTAAATAGTAGAAAATCTTGACCAGTATTGAGGGACTTTAAATGTTAAAGTCGAGCAGCTGATATGCTAAAATGATCATGTTTTTCATCATGACATCTTTTGTTCAGTTTGAGATTGGAAATTGCAAGGACCAAATCAGGGTGTAGATGCTCAAGGTTTCTACTCAATAAAACGAGCTGAGAATTCGACATTGCTTGTGGATAGTCCTGGCAGGTATTCTAAATTATAATTAATCCAGCCTCACGCAATTAAGTGATAATTTTTAGATCTGCAAAAAAATACGCCTTCATGAAACAGAGGTCAAGATCGACAATACTCTTTGTAATTGAACACGGTAAAATTATGAGAATTGAAGAACCAGGACAGCTAGCACTCAGTTTTGACGAGATTCTCGGGAAGGGGATTTTCTGTACCATTTTTGTGCGACTCATCATCGTCCTCATATCTTGATGCACTAGCAGTAAGTTGCTCTGGCATTAAGCCCTTTTCCTTGAGATACTTGATAGATTTTAAGATGGTCAAATCATCTTTTGCTGTGTCATTGAGAATAAGACGTTGAGCTAGTGTCATTTTTCCGCCGTTTGCCTCCTTGTCTCTTAATGCTTGATTGCGAACCTCCTGATCATGTACGAAGCGGCACTTGCCTTTCTTACCACAAGTACCACCGGTCGAGAAGTACTTGCAGTGTCGTTGTAATTGAGCCTTTGGGGTTGGGGGAAGACGCGAAGGGCCTCCATTTCGTAATGGCAGAGACTCAGGCTTATCATCAGAATCTGAGGTAGATAGGCCGTCCGCATCATCATCGCTCACTTGGCCATGATCATCATCTCCTTCATCGCCATTCTCACGCTTGCGTTTGGAACCTGAAATTTCTTGCTGAATCTTTCTTTCTGCCTTTTCAAGCTCAAGTCTCAGTTTTTCTGCCCTACGCTGCTGTTTTTCAAGTTTAGTTTCACCTTCCTCTTTCCTGACTATTTTATCGTTATCTTTCTTAAGCTTGCTTTCGCGATTCTGTTCACGCCGTATACGAAGCTGCTCGGCAGCAGCTTCTCTGCGGGCCTTGGTGGGGAACCTGCTCTTACGTTCTGCTAGCCATGCTTCTAAATCAGTGGGCAACCTATCGAATAAATTGTTAGATATATTTTGAGCGAGTTAGAGGTTAAACATACTGTGGGGTGTCGGGGCCTAGTAATGTGACAAGTCGCGCTTCTTCATCGACATCATCCACTTCTTCCTCACTATCTTCATGTTCGACACCACTTGGTGTGAGGCCGAGTGTATTTGTACGCCGCTTTTTTTTCTTTTTTCCACCGACTTCACCTCCAGCAGACTTGTAATGATTGTCTGGTTTTACAGCGCTATTCTGCTGGTGGCGAGTTCGAAACTGGTGCTGCTGATAATCGGCACGTCCTTTTCCTCTATAGTTGGTATTTCCGCTCCCGCGACCTCTTTGGGGTGGATTATACGGAACTGAATCAATGGGTGAACGCTGTGATACGTGAGCAAATTCTTGTGGTGGATAAACATGATAAGGTGGTTGTGGAAAAGGAACAGGCGAGTGATGATTGCTAGGTGGAAGATGAAAGCTATTCCCTGGCTGAGTCGAATGACTTCCACCACGTTCATTATCAAACCCCATGCGTATTGGAGGACCCATTAAAGGTGCAGGAGAGTCATGAAAGCTTCGTCCGTTACTGTTGATGTTATTCCGTCCACGATTGTTATTGAAAGATTGTCGATTCTGCTGAGATGACCCTTGCCACTGTTGAGGAGGAATCGGAGATGGAGCAACATGAGAAGGTTGATTCTGTGGCATATTTTGAGTGTAAGATGGCACCTGAACTTGAAATTGGGTGGGCTGAGGTGGCCCATATTGGGAAGGGTAGGCTTGTGGTGCGTAGTTCGGGTGATAGCTTTGGACTGGTAATGGAGATGGGTGAGGGTGATGCATAGGTTGTTGCGCAAGTTGCTGTGAGGGTCCGTGCTGAAGCGTATGTTGATTCTGCCAGTGAGGCGCTGCATATCCAGGACCACCTGAGCCCTGCTGAATTGGAGGTCCGGCTTGAGGGCCTATGTATGACGTTGGCACTGACTGAGGGTTGGATCCATTGAATCCAGCTGGTAAACCCTGAGCTGGCCCTGGCTGTGGGTGACGTGGATCATAGCCACTATTCTGATGAGACCCGTAGGCAGGTGCTCCATGAAACTCTCCGCGGCCATTTTGTATCCCCCCTCGTCCGCCACGATGTGAGCCTCCACCACGCAGTTGGTGCTGTTGGTAGTGGGTAGGGTGTTGACCATAGAGGTATTGGTTTCCGTGTTGGTTAGGAGATGCCGAACCAGGAGGTGGGGGAGGGAAGCTGTATTGCTGGGGCATAGGAGTTAGAAGGACTGAGGATACTGTTGTGGGAGAGGTGGCACGTTTTGGTGCCGTTGCGATAACCTTAGGAGAAGTAGATTTTGTTATTGAATTACATGTAGAGCTTTTTAATAGAAATCAGAATAAATTGATGGTAAAATATTACGTCAGTAATGGCACAAATGACTTTAGTTGAATGATCAATATTTGTCATGGGCACTTGCCCGCCGTGAAGGAATCTGAGGGTTGCGCACGGCCAATGCGCTAACACCGAGTTAGACTCAAATGAGTACAATTGGTGTACACTAATTCTAGGGTGCACCACAGACGAGGAGATAAGCTTGTGTTACCGTATGTTATATAATTAATTACTGAGGCTATTTAGCTTATTAGAACCCCTTCTGATCCGGGTTACTATCCTCCTAAATAATATTTGTGTTTATTTTCTTGTCTCATTCACATTGATGTAGATGTAGGCACCATATTCAATACTGCTATCCGATTATATTGCAAAAGTAGAACCTCTACTTTGTTACCTGTGACAAGTAGCCATTCAGCTCAATACTTGCATATGAGTTTCAACTATCTTTTCCACACAATCTTCTACCCAAAAAAATGGTAGCAATTGAAACTGCGTGCGCGGGAAGCTGTTCCAAAAAGGCCTGCAGGCGAGGCCTAGAAATCAGGACCACATGAGGTGCACATATCGATGTATATCTCTCTTTATAACGTTAGAGGCAAACTTGATCCAATCCGTCATCTCCGTATCGGGTGCTTGGTAGGCTCTGGAAACTCTTTGGATGGCTTTTTCTTCATGATCAAGGGTTGGTGAGGAGAAGGGCATCGACCCTACCATCTGATCTGATCATGGTTATCTTCACGATAATGGTGATAGGGGAATGTGTTGAGACATGAAGACTATACAGACTACGGAAGCGATTGGGGATCCTCATCGAATTAAGGACTTTGTTACTTAATCTCGGCTTTGCAGACTCTGTAGTAAAAGCTTGAGGTTCGTAGGGAATATCACCGACAGGTATTGAGAATAGTCCCTCATTAACGCGTAGCCTAGGCTGGTAGACACATGTTAGTAGGAGCATGGTCGCAGCATAAATTGATGCTGCGCGTGCCGTAAGATATACACGTTCTGTTAACCCTGTACTTTATCAGTTCTACTTCCAGCACTACTGTATCACCCATCAAAAGGAATCATATTCTAATAGTTTGGTTTGATTTCATTTAGCTCGTTCAGGTACCCTATGGGCTCGTGCAGGTATGTCTAGCTATAATGTCTTTATAGGGGGAAACCAAATTCGGTAAAAATACCCCCAAAACTGTCTGTCACGTGTCTACTGGTTTTCTGGTGTTTCTTACAGGAAGTGCGTTTATACTGTTCATACAGTGTGAAATCCGTCCTTTCCTTCTGCACATCGTCTCATCTTTACGTCCAATGCTATTTCTACTTCTCCTGTAAGCCGGAATTGATCAAACCAGCCTTTTGCCAGGATCAATTTTGTCATTGTCTCCATATCATCTGGGCTGTTCATTATTGCCGCAAAAGACCTTTCTTTTGCTTTTCGAAGCAGCTCTCCTCTTTCCATTGCCCACTGAGGACACGCCAAGACCATGTGTTTCAAATTTTGAATTAGATATCCACACTGGCATTTTAGATTAATCACTCCGGGGACTTTCCTTCGATACAGATCAGAATTGAGACCAATGTGCTCCCTTCTTATCTGAACTGCAATACTGCCTTGGGCCCTGCTAAGGCTTCAGTGGATATTTGAGGATGTGTTTCTATAAGTAATCCTTTTTCTGCCTGTTATCTTATCTGTAAATATATTTGCGGCTTTCCAATTTTCAGGGTCTGCCGAAGCTCGAAGACCAGATAGCTTCTCGTTCCCTGGACCTTTCGATAAGTTCCTCCAGTCCTGGAACGCAGCCACCTTACTGGCACCTTCTTGTCTCCCTCTTGTATTCTCTATGCCACAAATTCTGGTCTATTCTTCAATATCTAGATTTTGATACTTGGAGTGTCTGTTCTCGGTTCCCTTGTAGTCTGCTTGAATTTTCTGCACGCAAATAGTATCGATCTCCTGACAGATAATCCTTCTAATAGCCCGAGGTATTGAACCCTCCTTTATTTCAGGTAGATATCTATCGGGAGAATCGAAGGCTCTTGTTCTAGTATCCTACTACTGGTAGAGTAATAAGATCCTGTAACAAGCTTTAAGCATTTTCGTTGGATACTTCGCAATTGTTTGAATATCCTCTCTGTTATTTTACCCGCTGGCTCAGCTGCAGGCCATGTAGAACACCCGTAAGTCAGGGCTGGTCTTACTATCGTACTGTACAAAAGCTTTGACTTCTTGGATGTAGCACCCCAAGTTGACTGCGTCAACCTACTTATTGACTGTACTTGGGTGAGTGACTTTTGTTGGACATGCTCTATATGGGAGCCCCATTGGAGCTCCGAGTCGAAATATATGCCAAGGACTCGAATGGAAGATTGTGGAGACGTCAGATAACCTCGTATGCTGTCAGTTGCTTCAAGGCTGTGTCGCTTCCTTGCTCGTGTGAAATGCATGAGCTAGTACTTTTCTTGCGCAAACTTCTTGCCGTACTGTACTTCATTTATCATTGTAGTTGCGGGCCGAACACTCGCTGATTATACTTGTGTACGGCCGCTAGTCAGCTCCTGCACACACAAAATTCCTTCAACAGATATGGCAAATATTACAAGGACAACTCGAACAGCCTAGTTATCTCCAGTGAAGAAAACGACCCCTAGATGAGACGAGGAGATGCTGAGATGAGCCGAAGCTGGGAATGAATCGAAGGGAAAAGTTACAGACGACGAAGGTGTCAAGGGCTCGGGTGCATGGTGGCCGAGGATGAGGAGGAATTTGCGCTTCGGCGCGCCAAAAGGGGGTTCTCTCGACGGTTGGGCTTGACATGATTCAACATAGGGGTGAAGTCTGAAGTGGTCCGGTCATTTAGGTGGGACGAGGCACTTGTACTTTACGGTAGTTAACCTGATCCGGCCCGGCCTCACCCGTGCTTAAACTCCAGTAGGAGTGCAACGGGAATTACTAAACCTAGCACGTAAATGAACCAAAAAAAAAACAGCCTAGGCATCTAATCACATTATGTTCATTGAAGTATCCTTGCCAAATAACATGCCCATCACAACAATTGTGATATGTGCTGGCACGACGTTAAATGAAATAAAAAAACACACATGTGTGTCTGGGCCGTGAACGCTTTAGATGTGGTTATGATAAAGGACTCAACCCTGAAAGGGTATCACCTAGAAAGCTAGCAGAGGCAGTCAACCATTCAAAATTCCTCTTACATTCTAAGGTGCTAAGGAGTTTCGGGTTCTGACTTTAAATATGCTGGACTCTCTTGGGGCGCTGGCATTTGAGTTAGTCTCTACAGACTGAGCTAACCAGCATTTGGCCCTGTATTCTAACGTCGTGCGCCAGTACGACGGTAAGTAATTTAAATAAATAAAATAACAGACACGTATGTAATGTGAAACAAATCAATTCCAAGCTTGGATCACTCCGACTTTGATTTCAATTGCAAGTACCACTCTAGGTCAACCCTTAACCTGGCACTATAAAAACAAGCCTACGATGGAAGGTGCCGTGGTCCGCCTCCTGGTGGTGTTCTCTGGTACAGTTTGAGTATCCTGGGTACCTACTCCACTTGGGAAAGAGACACCTCAGATCACATATCGCGCGGAGAAAAGTTGAAAGATGATGGTAGCATGTCTGGATAGCTCAGGGTTTTTGAGACGTTCCCCTGGGTGGGTATTCACGGATGAGGGTTGACTTGGGGTGAAGAAAAAGCCACCATAACTCTGCAGTGGTACCTGCGAATGAGATCCGAGGCATGAGTGCTCCTCTTGTAAATTGAGTCATCTTTTCTGTACTTTTCATTGATAGTGTCATAGCTAGATAGCTGCATACGCAATGAAAATCTGTTGGGAAAAGTTATACTTAATTGAATCTCTCTCAAATTTGGTTGAATTAATTGTTCTTTATGCAGAAACTATTAAGAAAAAATGACCCCTCAGTCATTGAATGATAATGAAAATTTATTCGTGACAGGCACAAGCCTTTCACTCAAGGAGCATGACACGGAGAATACTAGTTTCTCAGACGACTATATACGACGATAACTCAGTTTGACATTTGGACTGCTCATGTAGTGGGTGCATTCGCTGATACCATTCAAGACCTTGGTGCTAGGGACTTTCACCCTTCCCTCAACCGGTAATATCCACCAAAGGGAAAACATGAAAGCCCTTTGGATACCCTGACATGCCTTTGCCATCTTGTATGTAGCCACCGCGCGAGATATGGCCTCACAGTCCTCCCTTTCTCGAGTGAGGTAAGTGTCCAGGCTACCCAGACTTTAATTCGGGGAGATAACGACCAGGAGGCGGACCAAAACACCTTCCATCGTTGCCTGCTTTTAGAGTGTCGGTTGCACTATGCGAAATCGTTGCCTCTACACCCACAGACAATCTTAAGTCGAAGACACTCGAAAAGTGTGCATCCCAACATGCACATTTGTGACCTCTTCACTCGTTCGTCCCACGTCCCAGCTGCCTGTCCTCCCTCAAGATATGAAGCCCAATTAGAGCAACGGTCTCCCATAGACCAAGACCCGAGCCTTGTAGATTATGACTTGAATTCCTCCTCGCGGGTATACATAGCATCGTAAGTGTGTAGTGGGAGATGGCCGGTTTTTGATGAGGTAAATGCCCGAATACAATTGGAGTAATGCCGTTATCGATATTTGAGGCGAGGTGGTGTGGTAAGATTGAGGTGTAGGACTCGCGTGAGAATGATAGGTCCGAAATAGACGGGAAGTCGTCGATTTTAGATGCGCTTGTGATTGCCTTCGACTTTGATTTGGATACGATTCTTCTTGGCTATCTCAGATATGCAGAGCATACCGGGCGATTACACCGGCACCACTGGAAGGTGAAGAATTCGTCTTTGCCGGCCCCTCAGTCATTGAAGTTGAAGAGCGCGTTGTTTTAATAATCTACCTGTTAAGTGGCTAGGGATATGTTATAGAGACAAGGAGGTTTTTTGGATGCCGACGGTGGTCTGGCGTTATAGAAGCACTGACGGCTTAGTAATTTCTGTTCGCCTAAGCTCACCCATTTGGACATATATAATTCGCAGACATTGCTATGATCTTTAGCTTTAGCACCTTTTAAGCCTTGAGTTCTTGCTTGCCATATCCTGCGTGTTGTAGTATTACCGATGTGAATTTAAATATATAATTTTCAGTCACGTGTGTATCAACAACGTAGACTATTTGATAGCTCCAATTGTTATAAATTATAAACTCTAACAGATAATATCTTAGCACTTAATAACATCTTGTAATTATTCTCATAATTACTTCAAAATTTTAGATATAGACCAGTAGTTACAATTATTAATGAAAACAATCCGTATTTCCCTCTAGTACAAATTTCTGAAATTTTTCGTGTTTATTCCCTTAATACAAAATTACAAGGAAAAAGTATAACCAGGAATAATGTAATCAATACAGTTAAATAAGAGATTGAGTGACTCGATTGTAATGACAAAATACAAATTGCGAATACTAGCGGACTCTTTTTTTTTTTTTTAAATCATTTAATGTGTATTCAGCTATCTAGCTATGACACATGACCGGTGCTATGTATACATGTTGGATGACTCTTTTGACGTTAGAGACACTCATACTCTGGATTTCATTCGCAAATACCACTATGAGGTATGTTCGCTTACACAAACAGTCGACCCTCCTCCGTGAGTATCCGCCAAAGGGAATTTCAGAACCGTTGGTTATCCAAGCATGCCTTCGTCATCCATGCATACCAGCGCCGCGAGAAATGTGGTTGTGTTTTGCTGGATTTGAACCAGCGATCAACTGTCTCGAGTGGGATATGTGTCCAAGCTACCCAGACTCTACTTGGCAGACCGGCCAAGACGATGTACCACCGCACCATCCAGCCATGGCGATGTTTATAGTGTCGCCTGCACTCTCGCAACCGAAGTCTTGGCACGCACAAAGCTCAATTTGTAAAAACTCCTTGCCAAAATTCAAAATTCCACGCCAGTCGAGACTGAATCCATCCTTCGCATCATCTTGTTAACTTGTCCTGAATCCTCTCACGCCATTACCAAAGAACTGTCTCCCAGATTTGTGCGCCACGCTTTGTGTCCTCCGTCGGGTATAAATGTCGGCGTGGGCGTGTATTTGGTGACCGGCTGAGGCCAGAGAAAGTCGACGAGAAGTGTGATCATTGGAATGAGGATGTACTAGGTCGTACTTATAGACTTGATGAAGCTTAGGTAGGAATCGATCTCGTTGGGAGTGAAAATTTGACGTGGTGGAGTAATTTGGATCATTGCCTCGTGGGCCAACTTGTTCGGTATTGCGAAATTTGACTGAACTTGGCTCTGAGAGAATATTTCACTCCCAGGTTCGTAGAGGACACCGCGTACAGGTGTTCAGTCTTGCCCCCCACTAGCGGACTCCTGCATAGGAAATTGGGCATATATCTAATTACTGATTTTAGCATATGCAAGACTCGGCTGTTGCCAGTGACGCTATAATCTTGTAATTCGGTAGCACACAGATTAACAATCTGAGGCATGAGTGCTCTTCCTTTACGTTGAATCATCTATTCCGTACTTTTCTTTGATATTGTGTCATAGCTAGATAGCTGCATACGCAATTAAAATCTGATGCAAAAAAAAAAGAAAAAAAAAGATTAACAATCTTAACGAAGGTGGTTCTTTATTTAGATGTTAAGATGTTTTGTTCGACAAATTCTGATGCTAAAATTTAAAAAGCTCAATTCCAAAAACATTTGACCTCTTTTCTTTTTGCATCAGATTTTAATTGCGTATGCAGCTAGCTAGCTATGTCACGACATCAAGGAAAAGTACATGATAGATGACTGTGCAACCTCTTCTGTGCATACCTATCACTGGGATAAGTTTATAATCCCACGCTTATCCGAGTGTGCTTTCTTCATCCCACGAATACAATGTCACCGCGAGAGGGTGTGGTGCGGAAGGTTTTGAATTCGTATCATCTACCTTCTTTCTCAAATTGGAAAAAGTGTTCAAGCTTCCTAGAAGTACCTTGGGAGATCGGCCCGAATGGTGTACCATTGCACTATCCAACATCATAGTAACTTATACTTGTACCTGTAGCGCACATCTCACCTACTTTACGCAGTAACACGAACATGACACTCTTTTAATAAAACTCTTTCCTTTCCGTGAATATTACGCCAACTCCACAACGCAACACTTATCAAAAAGTACACACTACTCATCGCAGACAAACTCAAATAGCTACAGCCAATAAATATTCCGAAAAATCGGTAGCAAAGTAAAACATAGACGCTTAGGCAAGAAAATAAGTAAAATGTTCATCCTTGTAAGCAGGTCAAATACATTCGATAATTAACATAACTGCTAAATATTGAAGACAAAAATTGCAGACTTAGTCCAGATAGTGCCAGAAGACTTTAGCAAGGATGCGGCAAGAGCAATTGAGGATAACATTAACACAAAATATGCGAACAAGGTGATTCAGAAGGTTGGCCTTTGTATCTGCATGTACGATCTACTCATGGCATCCGACGGATTAATAGGCCACGGTACAGGTCTTGTAAACGTTAATGGTTTGTGCTTCCTTTCCACACTTCCTATAGTCATCTATTAACTGAGGAAAAGTTGAATTCCGCCTGATCGTATTTCGGCCCTTTAAGAACGAAGTAATTCTAGGAAAAATTAGTAGTTCGAATTTACATGGAATTCGAGGTGTGATTAGGCATTTCACATTCATCAAAATCTGGCTAACAGTTCAGTACGACTACCATTCTTCGATGATATCTTTGTACCAAGAGAAAAGCTTCCGAGTCCATGTGAATTGTTCGTTAACCTATAAAGCGGTTTGTAGTACCCTGACTAAGAAGAATAGTAAATTCGACGAACAAATCTACGTATGGCAAGCCAGTCCGGACTTCCCCCTATATTTCGATAAGCACGAAACAGTACGTTTAAGGATTGAGCAGGAGATCTGGACTGATCAGACGCCTATTGGACCCAAAGATGAAGAAAACTCAAAATCTGTTAGGTCTAGCCCCTATGTTTTGCATGGGAGCATGCAGGAAGCAGGTCTAGGACCATGCCTGTGGTGGGATGACGCCGAAGAGGACGTTGCCGAAGAGTGATCTCCCACCAAGGCAATACATGATGGCTACAAATTTTACAATGACTTGGCGCAAGTAGACCTGGAATGATCTCGTTTCTCACAAATATTTAAAAAAGTACATATTTCACCTCATACGATTACCGGCTCCGCCAATTCCAATTCCAATACCACACTATATTATATCATACGACAGTGTATTCAATGTACAGGATCGCCGCAAGAACTTATCTCTAAAGTAGCAGAATTGACCTGGAATTTATTTCACTCACCCAATTCACCATGAAGAGAGATTTGCATTTTCAAAAGTTTGAGGTTTATCAATATTATCTTTGATTTTATAATTTCAATGGGACAGATTCTAATTTCTGTAATAAAGTAAAGGTTTGAACGTCATAGAACCCAGGGCTCTCTGGTAACTAGAAATATATATTGTTATTATACATAAGTTATGGCAAGCAAGAACTCAGTTTAAACGTAATTCAGCAAATAGGTAGAGCTTCGTCTTTAAATTGTGTATGTCATTTGCTCAAGACTGAGCGAATGGTGATAAATCTACAATTAAGTCTTATATAAGACTCTATTTACGTGGGTACACTAATCGAAATCTACGTCTGTGTGCTACATTCCTAGCCACTTATTAGTACCCAAGGAAATAGTGGCGTTTTACATCATTTTGCCAGAAAGCTGCGCAGCCTTTCACGCTGCCCGTATCATCAATTTGACATCGTAATTATCATTCTTTCATCTTCATTATCCTCTCTCCCTCCACCGTTTCGCTTTCCGTGCCCCAACATGGCGAGTGTGGGTGCTGGTGTGGGTAAATCCAGCAGTTTCGACGCGTCGCAAAATGCGACAATGGCCTCAACAAACAACGGCAGCGGAGCGCAGACGGCTCCAAAGGATAGAAACTACTAAAACAGATTAGACTATTAGTGATATGAGAGATGGATGAGGAGGACTTAGCCTCAATTGAGGATGTGAACGAGCCCGTGAAGGCCTCCAACGCACACAAAAGGGCCCGGACGGAAATGTCCCTGAAGAAGTCTCCCATCGAGGAGAGGATGATGGCTCTTGAGGAAGTCGTCAAAAGAGCCTCGCGGATCCCGCCTGAAAAGCTACTCCAACAGTGTTTTTGGGCGCGCCGACACCAAGGAAGTACGCGTCAGTCGTGGCTCCCAAAATGACAAAAACAGCGGTACGACCAAGAATTGACAGCGCTCAAAACTTGCAGCCACAAGAGCTGCTTTCAAAGGCAAAAGATCACATACAAGGTGCATATGCCAATCGTCAAATGGGGAGTAACGATACCGAGGTATACGTCCAATCGGCGTCCCAGAGAGACGCGGCGCTAAATATGCGACAACCAACGGAATACAAAATTCTGCGGCAGAAATATCCAGTCTAGGTTAACGATGTCCCAGAGATTGTCATAGCTATATAGCTCAATACAATATGAATTAAAAAAAATAAAAAAGATGTCCCAGAGCGGACAAGAATAGAAGGGGGCAGAGATGCCAAAAATTTTGCCATCATCAGGGAAATAGAGACGGCTACGAAGGCACGAATGCCGGCCTTAGTCATTGGTTGAATAAGGTGGTAACACGACGGAAAGGAACACCAGCGGTCAAAGAAAAATGGCCGCACTCGTGGATCAATTGTGGTGAGCCTCCCATTGGAGGCAATGCAGACGGAAATGGTCCGAAACGGTCTTGTTATGAACGCCATACTCTACACCGTGCAGGTGTGGTCATCACGGTCCCAGTCAAAGAAGTGTTACAACTGCAGTTAGTGGGGACACACCCAGGGGTCGTGTGGAAAGGCAGTTAGGTGCGGTGAGAGCTCTGACGCTCACCAAACTCGGGACTGTCCGAGGAAAAGGGTTTCTTGTGCAAATTACGGCAAGGAACACCGTTCATGGCAGAAAGCAGCGTGTCGGACCTACCATGTCTACAAGGGAAGTGTTGAGAAGGCTTAGATGGAGATGTTGTCAAGAACGGCGGAGTAAGTGAGTGATATTTATTGTACTACTTGAGTCATAGACTATCTTACACATTGGGCTCCTTTCTGGCCCAGGCCATACCTTGTACAGTGCTCCTTGCCCCTCATTTTCTTGAAAGATCTTTAATATGTTGCCCTTAATGAATAACCATTCAGCTTAGTGTTTACCCGTGGAATTCGGCCACCTTTTCCCCCGAACCTCTACCCAAAAAAAATTAAAATGGTAGCAATGTGTTGTGGTTATGAGCTATGTGGAAGTCACATTGCGGAGTGATGAGGAGTGGATGATGTCATAATTGGTTGTTGACAGCGAATAGACTCATACAATACTATGCTGTAGGTATATGGACAGAAAGTATAAGACTAACCTGTATCCATTTATTGTGGATACATCTATGCAACTGATGAATGCATCCAAAGCTGACTGAAAGAGAGGAGACTAGAAGGCAAGTAGAGGAAATGGGGATTAAATATTTGTATTTAGATATAAAATAATCAGATGTGTCATAGCTAGATAGCTGAATACACTATAATTTTATATAAAAATTTTTTTTATCTATGAAACTATATACATGATCGCCTAACCAGTACATTAGTGAGGTGTGCTGTGGCCTTGAGCCACACGCGATGCCGTAGCCTCGACTACCTCGTGTTGAGAAATATACTCTGTACGATATTATATGGATAAATGTGATGAAGTAAAGAAGAATTAATATTTGACAACTAATGGAACATTGGACTTATATATACATCTTAGGGGAGAAATTCCCACTAGTCTCATGTGCCTGTCAAACCTAGTGATGACCAGCCACCTCTCATCTACCATGATGAACCAAGATACACTGTACTACGTAAATATCCAAACGAATATGCAATAGTAGGCGCGATTAGCGCACTCGTGACGTGTGTAGAGAGAGTCGATCTTGTCGGGAACCTGAGACGAAAAAGGTAATGGTTGAGTCCTAAATTCGAGAGTCAGAATTTCCAACACGACGTTTTTTATAATTATTTACTTTTGGTCCTAAGCTAACGCTATCTTTTAAGCTACCATAACTTCGCAGTGGTACCTGCAAATGAAATCTGAGGCATGAGTGCTACTCTTGTAAATTGAGTCATCTTTTCTGTACTTTTCATTGATAGTGTCATAGCTAGATAGCTGCATACGCAATTAAAATCTGTTGCAAAAAAAAATATAACGCTATCTTTTCCACATTGGGTCAAGGACTGGTGGAGCCGGCAAGGATCACTACGTACAGGCCCAACTCATTCCAACCGCATGAACTTCTACTGAAATTTTAGAAGTTAACAGCAAAACTAAAATCAAAAACATAAATCAAAAACTGAAATCAAATTTGGAAGAAATACTGTTTGGTCCGGATCCCGCGCTCCTCGCCCGTTCCCTTTCCTGCCACATCTTCCACGTGGCTTTTTCTTATCTCCGCTGAGAGCGAAAGACTAGCTCGCAGATACCCTGAATTCAGCTGGTATCCTGCTATATATATTGAAGCTTTTTGTAGACTTCACCGAGGGTTGCTGTACCCTCAAACTTCTTCTTCGGATCCCAGGATTCCGAAACCCGATCCCTCGGCCATCGAGACATCCTTCGTTGAGGCCATTGTTGCCTCTTCGGCCCTTTTAGCTGCAGCCCTAGATCGAGCCACTTTTGCGAGCTCCCCTTGCTGGATCTGGCGGATCCGCGCGAGCTGCTCTTTTGTCACCGGTCCGGACTTACTGGGTCTGGCTAAGCAGGCCCGGGAATCCGATCGGTGAGGTCCCCCACAGTTTCGACACTGGGTGAGGGCCTTGCACTCTGATTCTGAGTGCATATTAGATCCGCATTTCCAGCAAGATGGAGCACGGGAACAACCACGGGTGGCGTGAAATTCAAGACACCGTTTGCATTGTTCGATTTTGCGACGAGGTCGGAAGAGCTTTGCAGCTCCAGAGTCGTCTAAAAGGCGGAATCCAGGTCGAGGAGCGGATTCTCGGGGAAAGAGCGCTTGCCAGTTTGAATAGGGCGCCCCTGGTTTGCTAGTCCCATGAGCACGAACCAGAAAGGGGACCAACTGGGTCACTCGCGTGACTTCATCGGCAACCATCCTTGCCGTCACGGCAATTGGGCCAGCAAGAGTTCGAATTGTCTCCGGGACGGTGGCAATTTGCATGGCAACCAGATTTGATGCTGGTTCTAGGTGTATTTCTAGATCTCTCCGCAGTGCGGAGGAATCCAAGAGCTCCTTTCGAGAAGCTTCATTCTTTGCTCTAATAGCAAAGCCGGTCTTTACCCGCTGAACCAACGTGATATCATTAGCAGCGGTTCCCAGCGCTAGAGACATAAATAACCTAATGCCAGCTAGGGAGAGGAGACGGTGGGGGTGGAAGTAGTCGAGGCGCAGAAAAAGTCGTGAATCGACTTTCGTCCTCGGGTTGGCACTCTTTGCTTTGGGGGCGGGCGGTGCTGCCTTTTTTGTCGACTGCTCAGCGCTGCGGGCTAGGCTACCCCGAGCTACGGTAGCCCAAGTTGTCTTCGGGGCCGGAGGCTGGGTTGTTGGAGGGTTAGGAATCCTTATTTCTGGTTATTGTGTTATCAATGTAACTTACCATGGTACATGCTTTAGGTCGCGTCATAGCATATGCACGTGACTGTGGAACTAAACCGTGGGGTGTATAGTGTGTAATGCATGTGTGGGTATACTGGACCAAACTAGAACTAGATGGAATAGAGATAACGAAATCAGCGAGAGACTGATGGACTGAGAGAGAACGAGCTGATCATTTCTCGTAGGAGAGAAATGATATCATAAGGGAATGTTCTAGCACTAGGCTGTGAACAACACAGTAAGTCTGGAGCAAGATAAAAGGAGGTCTCAACCTCCGTTGTTGTGCCTAGACCCACATAGCTACAGTGCACAGCTCCAGTTATGATGGTCACGCGACTGCATGCATTTGCTCTGTTTGCTCCTGCTTCGTTGAGTTAGTATAATTAGTAAGCAATAGTCTAGGGACTATAAGTAGAGAGCT